TACCTACATTAATATACTGTATACTTTAGAAATGTACAATTTATATTTTGACCTCCCAGAGCCTCCTGCTGATTCTCCAGCTTCCAGTGTACACTTTAGAAAACAGTTCTGCACATGGGTCATTAGCAGACATTTTTAATCATTGTAAACTGAAGGCAAAGTCGGCTTCAGTGACCACAATCTATAGACATAACCTGGCAGAACAAACCCATGGACTGCTTAAATAGAATTATAAATTTTTTGCATGTCTCTGTTTTTTAGCCTCTTATTAAGTTGTAGGATGCTGCACAGAATTATGGAGGATTAAAATTGACAAACTTAAATGAATAAACGTATCATGAAATATATAAATGTACCGTTAAATATACTGTTAAATAATAATAGTATGAATTAATGATTTAATACATTAAATCATAAATACGTATATCATTAAAATATAAAATACACAAATAAATAATTAAATATCCCATTAAAAAAGGTACATTTTAAGTAGTGAAATTAAATAATTAAATGCATTTTCAAGAATTTTTTTATTTAGAAATACATTTAATTATTTCACTCTGTATTTACTGGTTTCATGGCTCCTGTGCCATGCCACTGTGCTACAGTACTTCACAAATGAGATTCCAAAAACTGACTATAGAAGGAGTTTTTGACGCTTTTGTTGGCGATCTTATGTTCTCTTTCATGCTGGAGGAGTTGATACAAAATGTATTTAGCCTGTTACTGTTTGCAACTGTAAAATGGTGCTTCATCTATTCTCTGGCCCTATAATTCAAAATTCCCAAAAACCTTTAAAAACAATTATAGAGGTGAAAATAAGGAAATGCATTTTGAAAAACATTGATTTATTAAAAAAAAAAAAAAGTATTCAAATTCTGACTTCAATTTAATCCTCCTGTTGAGGGTTTTTTTTTTTTTCTTACGGTCTTTCCAAGTCCACAGGGGAGTTGTTTAAAGAGCACTGGGACCTAAAGTTGTTAAGTAAAGGACACGTTTAGGCGATACAGTTTTCTTTTCAGTCTAATATGCAGGAATAAATCAAAGGCTGAGTGTTCAGGAAAAATAAAGACATACTGTTCCATTGAACTAAAACCTCCAGAAAGTCAGTATAATTGATTAAAAGCAATAAGTGCTGGCATCAGGGAGTTGAGTTCCTCGACACTCATGTCTCTTTGTCTCTGCTGTTGTTTATCAGTTGTTTTAGTGGTGGTTTTTGGAATCTGCTGGGCCCCGTTTCACACCGATCGCCTCATGTGGAGTTTAATCAGTGACTGGACTGACAACCACCTGGAAATCTTCAAGTATGTGCACGTCATCTCTGGCGTTTTTTTATACCTCAGCTCAGCAGTCAACCCCATTCTGTACAACCTCATGTCCACACGCTTCAGAGAAATGTTCAAGGAAGTGATGTGCCATCGACCACACCACGCCACCCCAAGAAAACACTCGCTCAGTGTGACCCGAGTGACCCTCCGCAGCACGCTGAGCGATGCGCCACTCGGCAACGGAGCCGCTGTTGTGGAAGCTGCGACAGAGGATGGAGATGGAAGAGTGAAAGGCGAGGAAGCCATTTCTTGTTAAAGAATAAAACACAATGTTAAGGGAGTGCAGAGAGGACACGCTGTTTGCACAATGGCCTTTTGTTTAAATGGACTGCTATGTTCTGAGCCAGAGCATCCATCATCTGCACACAAGTGCAGCAGGTGCTAAATCATTTAAAATAAGTTATTTTAAATAAACAATCCATGCCGCTTGTGCGGCTCATCCATCAATCAGACATTTGTGTGTCATGTCCAATCTTACTTTGAAAAACCGTGAAAGAGCAAATCCGTGAAAGTCGAGCCGCGAAGTAGCGAGGGACTTGCTTCCAACTGTTGGTATTATCAGAATGACTTCCCATATATATATATATTTTGTTTTCTTTTTGTAATTATTAATTTAAATATATTTTTGTTTGTTTGTTTTGGTCAAAATTACAGAGGAACCAAATAACTATATGTGTGGCCCCAAAGCTTTAAGTTGCAGACACCTGAACTAACCAGAACTAACCAGCTACTAAGTTAGTAGCTACGACTAAGACACACTGAAATTAGTTCACCATGACAAGAGATAAAATGTGAAACATTAAACCAGGACATTAAAACAGAATCCATACATACATTATCTTTTCCCGCTTCTTCCTTTTCAGGTCGTGGGGAATCCTTATGAATATATGTGTATAGTTGTATGTACAGATCTCAGCGCAAGAAAATAATTAAAATGAGAAAAAAGAAGTTCAAAATAATTTGTTGTTTTGTGGTAAACTCACAAATTGCTCAAACTCACACAATATATTCATCTTGATGGTGTTTTACTAGTAGTAATAGTACATGTTAGAGTGATGTAGTGGTTTTATTAAAGAATAAAACATAAATGGTCCTGCAAAAAATGAAATGAATGTTTAATCCTAATGACTGTTCATAGGAGATAGAATACCATCATCTGTATAGTGAGGTTTATTAAAATTGATAGTTTTGTAGTATTTTAGTATAATAGTAGCTATTTGAATAACAAAAGTGTTCTGCTGATGCTGGTGTTTGTAAATTTCTGTTTGATGATTTTTTGCTTTTTTTGGTTTAACAGTTTGTAAGTATTGTCCAATGGGTGTTAATATTCAATATTGTACATTAATGGTGATTTCAGATGAACTACTTTTGAGTGAATTTATTTAGATGAACTATCAATGTTATAGAGAATATGTACTGTATATGATGTTTCAATTGCTTATAAACCCATGCAAACAAATTCAGTCATGTATGTCATGTGTAGAAACTGCAACTTTTGTTATGCAGAAAACTTCCTTTCAAATCACAGCTATGAATAAAACCTTGATTTTTGTGGTACATGTCAAGCTAGAGGAATCAGATCATTTCTATGACAAGATTAGAGGTCCAAGACTCCATTAATGTTTGTGGATACATATTTTATAATTCTTGCCATGACTTTGAAGACCATTTGGGCTTCATGAGCATTAGTGCGTTTGTGGAATAAAGTGATGCATTTAGAGTTTTACTGATTATAACAAAAATGCCTCAATAATCTTTTAACTTGTTTTAGAGTGCATTATTAGTATAAGTCTTTACAACATAATCCAATGCACAAACTGCATAAAAAACATGAAAATACAAACTCAGTATTGGTATGAAACTCAGAAGTTGGAAGGAAAAGACTGAAATCTTAAACTTATAAACGCATTGTAAACAAAAATTAACGCTACAGTCTTGGTACAATTGGTGAGCTGTCTTTTGAAAGTTTTGCACAGATTTGCCAAAATTCCCTAATGTTTGTCAAACGTTCAGTACCGTTCAGAAACCCTTCTTTGAGCCAAGGTTTTACACATACAAATGTAAATTTAAGCTCACATTTGACAACTTTCAAAACGTAATCTGTAATTAGTGCAACAAAACATCCATCCATCCATTATTTTTTACCCGTTTCTTCCATGTTGGGTCA